TAAGTTACATCCAACTAGTCGTCTTATGATAGAGAATCAATTGTTACAAAAGTAGATTAAAATGGATTAAAGAAAAATAAAGTAACTTCAGAAATTAACAAGAATCAGTAATACATTATTACTGAGGATTATTAAGAAAACATGCATACTCAGCAAATCACTCTTTTATGCTTAAAATATTGACATGACTGAATGATAAAATTCTATTAAATAATGGCGAAAAACTATTTTACCCCAAGTGTGCACTCCCTTTAATCTCTTATGAAAAAAATGTACTTCAAGAACAATAATATAACTAATTCTTACAATACAGATGCTAAAGTTTTAAGAAATTATAAACATGAATTTCCATAATACAAAAATGAGTAAACCAACAAAACCATTAGTAGGTTTTAGTAATTTTTAAATGAACTCAATAAACTCCAACAAGTCTGTAAAATTCAGAACTTCCTCCTCCTTTCTTTTGCACGTTTCCGAGAACTTTGGCCTTTGATCTTCCAGTTTTCATTCCCAGCTGGTTGCCTCTGCTCTTCGATTTCTCGAACCTTACGCTTCCTATAAAAAGTATTGATATGAAGTAAAGTTAAGCTCAATAGAGAAACGACTGCATTGCATGCTCTTTCAAACTTAACTGGGAAAATGTTTTCCAATGCATATCTTACCTGAAAGCTGAAAGGTTTTGATCAGCAAGCAACTCATCTGCAAGTGTTTCTTTCCTCTCTTTCTTTGTTAATCTGCCTGAGAAGTAGTCCAGCGGGGAACCTACAATTGTTCCCACCTGATCATCATATACAAACGATGATAAAATGTTAAAGATGAATAAACCCAGAAATCAAATTTTGAAGGGACTTTCATCAACACGGAACTTACCTGAAAGTACTTTGGAAGAGTCTTTGATTTTGAACCACCCTTCTTGTAGTGCCGTTTTGGATCAATGGCATCCCTCAACTGTGACCATCATCAACCAATAGATACATATTAAAGTGTCAGTATCATATTTCCACAAAAAAAGGCATAAAAAGTTGTGTGGTATGCAAAATAAAAATAGATAGTTTAAAAATACCAAATCTTTGCAGAAAAACAGTATCCTACACTTGCTTATCATGTAGGATACTAGTGTGTGTATATATATATATATATATATATATATCATGCTTGTCAACTTAATCTAAGCAAATATCATGTCATCATATTGAAAAAAAGAATATATTCCAGATCCTCTTTGGAGGGGAGGGGGGATAAACATAATGTCCAAAACTCAATCACCTTTAGTAACTTCAGATCTCTCTGCAGCTCAGGGGTCATGGTTTGAGCAGGCATGTCAAACCTGGTAAAGATTTAAATATAATCATCAGATAACTCTCATTATGATTTCTAACCTAAAAACACACACAAACAGACACACATAAAAATCAAAGGAAAAGTATAAATAAATATTCAACACCAGCCAATTCTCATCCTTTCAAAACAAACAATCAATCAAAAAACCCAAGTCTCGTCCCACTACAAGTGGTCGGCTATATAGATCATATGTTGGACGCCATAATGTTCTATCATTTAATAGAAAAGTGTTGCTTATTTCACTGTAATACTTAACATTCTTTTTCTGTTAAATTCATAACAGAATTATAAACACAATTCTCTCTTCTCTCAACTCTTACGAAATCAATATGAACAATTCTTCATCCCTTCCACTTTTTCTACTATGGGGATGAAAAAGTGTTCATATTGATTTTGCAAGAGTTGAGAGAAGAGAGAATTATGTTTATAACTTTGCTATGAATTTTTACAGAAAATGAATGTTAGTTTTACAATGAAACAGCCAACTGCTATTTATAATAGGCCGAGTCTGAACTGAGTTAGTTACACTCGGTTATAGCTCAACACATGATTGTTGTAACAACCTTCAGAGCTTTCTAAAGCTTTCTAACCGGTTCTTTTCTAACTGTAATTTTGTTTTGCTATTTATATGCAAACAGTTACAGGCTTGCTACTATACCCTAATATATGATAGGTGATAATACCTCAATTCTCTCTCTAATGTTGTCATTTTTAATCTTATCATGTCTAGTCCTACCATATAATTCAAATAAATTAATTTCTAATCGATAAAAAAACAACCCCCGTCACTAAATGTCCGGTTAAGTAGTGTAAAAAATGATATAGATAATTAAACAAAAGATTTCAACCTTGGCTGCATTAAGAAAAGGTAAAACTTGCTTTAGATCATACCATTGTTTTCCAGCAGTATCCTTAACTTGCTGTCTCAATAACCTATTTAATTTTCTGGGATCATTGGGAGGAACGAATAGCCCACTAACCAATTCTGAATTTGGTTTCCAAATAGTGCTACTTGGTGCCTTGGCTTGAAATTGGGCATGAGAAGGATCACTTGTAGCCTTTGACAGAGATGGAAAAGGCAACTGTGGTTGCCATGAGAGACCAACCACTGGCTTTTTCTCCGGCATTCCTGAACCAAAATGAAATGAAGTGAAATTTCAAAACAAAATGCAATAAGCCTGGAAAAGTTGAAAACTCAAGCCAAATAAAAATAAAAATTTACAAAACTACATTAAATCATTCAGAAAATACATTTTAGAAAAAGTCAAATATTAAATGAGGTTAACTAAATAAATCTATAACCTAATACGATTCTTTAGATGAAAGAATTTACAAATCAGTTTCTCGAGTTCTTTGTGAGTTTGGTTGTGTTTAACTAATAATTGTTAGTTTTATGACGGTGTATTTGGGAAAACAGGATGAAAAAACTGTTCAAAAAATTCAAGGCACTATAACAGTTTTTTACTTTCAAAAGCTTTGGGAGATAAATACTCTTTTCCCCTCAAAAACACAAACCATAATCTTAACAACCAACACACTAAGACATAATGTTTCACTGATAGCATAAAGAAGGTACTGAAAATAAGAACATACATCACTAAAATCAAATGTGAAACCCTAAACCCTACAAAATAATGAACAGAAAAAAAGTAAAACTCATATGAATGAAAGGGAAGAAACGCTATGAGAGAGAAATAGATAGAAACTACGGTACCTTCAAGAATCGAGAACTTGAGAAGGAAGAGAGAGAATTGGTTTAATTGAATCAAGACTAAGAGGTGACGGGGTTCGTGAATATATATATATATATATATATATATATATATATATATATCATCTAGTATCCTTCTTCCACACCTCGTGAAAAACCCAAAATACCCTCTAAAATTCGGAAATGCATATCTGTTCTGGACTGGGCTGACACTTAGCCCACCATTGGGGAGGCTCAATCTAGCGTCTCTACTAATCAATAATCGTTGGGCATTTTCCCACGTGTCCACTAAAGGAACATGGTCTGCAGTTGTCCATACCGCCATCATCCTACCCACCGAGAATAATGGGTCCAACTTCTCTATCTTCTCGAGACAATTGACTAGGGAGGAGATCACGTGCTAGACTCCATTACTCATGTAACCCTGGCAGTCTTCACTATCGGACCTTATCGTGGCCCAATAACGAAGATCTTGGTCCAACGCCGGTGACTATAAATATCCTCTCACATGAGTGGGTCAGGTATTCATTCTTTCATTCTTGCTCTCGTACTTGCACTTTATTGTTCTCATTCTTACTTTGACATCGGAGTACCTTGCAGATACACCCCTCATCCACTTCACTTTCAACCATTGCTCAACTCAAGCTCGTAGGCCATTGACGATCCCTTCTGGTCAGGTACGATCAGTGGCACCGTCTGTGGGAACTACTGCCTCTCCGTCTTTTCCTAGCTTAAGACCAAAGCAACCTTCAATCTCTTGATCGTCATGGCCGACCAAGTCAACAACTGTGATCAAAATGCTCATTTCGTCGATGCTAGCAATATCAACAATGTTGGCGGTCCCGAGCACGACATCAGGTACGGGACGACCGTGTCCTCCTCCTCGACAAGACTACGAACCTACAGTGTATCAGGAGATCCACGTGCCTGAGAATGTTGATCCTACGACCCAGGCCCTGTTCACGACAATCAACCAACTACACGATCTTCGCGCAGGATGAACGCCTCGAAATGCTGGAAAAGACTCGTCGGTCCCCCAAAAAACACAGAAGACCGGACTCACGAACCCCGTCTCCCTGACGACGTAAGTACCGCTCCCGATCTCCTCCAACCACTCACGAACCCTGTCACCTCCTAGTCTTGATTCAATTCAACCAGTTCTCTCTCTTCCTTATGCTATCAGTGAAACATCAGCGGTATATCAGGATGTAGAAGTGTTGTTTAGACTGTTTAAACAAGCAGTTGATTGATTCAATAGTGTGTTGGTTGTTAAGATTATGGTTTGTGTGTTTGAGGGGAAAAGAGTATTTATCTCCCAAAGCTTTTGAAAGAAACTGAATAATCTTTTACCAGAAACAATACTAAAAAACTGTTATACAAGAAACAATACTAAAAAACTGTTATACAAGAAACAATACTAAAAAACTGTTATAGTGCCTTGAATTTTTTGAACAGTTTTTTAATCCTGTTTTCCCAAATACACCGTCATAAAACTAACAATTATTAATTAAACATAACCAAACTCACAAAGAACTCGAGAAACTGATTTGTAAATTCTTTCATCTAAAGAATCGTATTAGGCTATAGATTTATTTAGTTAACCTCATTTAATATTTGACTTTTTCTAAAATGTATTTTCTGAATGATTTAATGTAGTTTTGTAAATCTTTAGGAAAATAGTCATCAGAAATACGTACTTGTTATTTTAAGTATAGAAAATACGTAGCAAATAGTCATTAGAAATGATAAATAAAATGATAACTAATGTTGTGAAATCTAGTTATAACTTTGAAAAACAATCAATCTCAGAAACGTAGGTTAAACAGAATGTAAAATAATTATTTACATTGAAATTAAAATGAATGAAAGTTATAGGCAACAAAAAAAACTTGTTAAAAATATAAACCAACTGCAGAAGAGACAGCAAAAACATAGTAAAACACCGTAGTTAGAAGAAAACTATACCTCCTGAAACAATACTTGGTTTATTGAATCCAAAACGGCCACCCCTTCTACCGCCATCCCTTCCATTTTCATTTGGTGTAGCTGGGGTAGCAGGCTGCAAAATTTAAAGGCCAAGTCATGTACATTCTTAATAAAACTATTTTTAGTGCGATTGTTAATGAAGATTTGTTTGAAGGTGAAGATTAATTACAGCTTTCTTTGAAGATTTGTCAGCATCAATCATCTCCACATCTTTAGTCTGTTCAAGCAAGGGTAAGTTAGTATTTCAAAAAAAAACAATCCAGAAATTAAGGCCGAGCAAATAAAAACAATATGCTAACCTTTTTTTGAGGTGTTTCGGCTGGTTCATCCTCACTCTCCGCTTCACTGTCACTTTCCTCAGAACTGCTATCCTTGTCAACATTCATCTTATCCTGTTGATTGCACATGTTCCAAGTGTATAATAAATAACATGATTTAAAAACATTCAAATAGAAATTCACTAAAAATGTGTCTAGGCTACAAAATGAGTATTGGTCATCACCAAAAAATATTCTAAGATTCTCTAACCTCTTTCTTAAGAGCCATTGCCTTCTTGTTCCCATTAGAAGTTTTGGAAGTTTAACTACCAAAAAGTCAATTTTGTATTGCTTTTCATTTAAATGTACGCAACTTCACATCAAGGATATAAAACAAGTAAATTAAGAAAACAGGCAATCAAGTAGAAACTTTACATCATCTTCATCAGAGCTGCTATCATCTTCTTCACTGCTATCTTCATCATCATCCTCAGTCTTTTTGGCAAGAGGAGCTGACTTAGACACTGCAGTTACAGTAGCCTTGGTATCCTATAAAGGTGGTACAATTTAGATGTTTATAAATTAATAACACTCAAGCTAACATCAGTTTCTATGATGCCTTTCTACTAGAAGAATAGAATATGTTAATTAATACATGTTTTCTTTTTGTATAAATGAATCATGGAAACTACTCAGAGTAATAGTATGGGCTTAAATTAAATAGTATGCTAAATAGAGTCAATTATGAAATCATCGGAGTTTATTTACAAGAAAAATACCTCATCATCTTCAGACTCCTCTGAGCTATCAGAATCAGATGGCTTCTTTGCAGCAGCTGACTTCACAGCAGCAGGGACAGCCTTAGCTTTTGGTGCCTGAATATTATAATAGGTTATGGTAAGTAGGTCATAACAGGTACTGCAGTCAACATTAAACATCAAATACAAATTAGGAAGCCCCAATATTTTCATGGTTGGCCTGAGTGAGAACTGAAAATACGATTAACGAAAATAATCGAGTGAGAACTGCAAGGAACAAGAGATCGGAAGCACGCAAACCTTGGTGGCGGATTTCTTGCTTGACTTGCCCATCTGAACGAAAGAGATGAAATACGGAAGAGAAAGAAGAAATGGGAGAAACTGCGGAAGCTATTCAAAACCCTACGGCTGAGAGAATTAGGGTTTTGGAGATGGCTGAGAGTGAGGAGAGTTATGTAAGTGAACGGCTGAGGTAGCTTTTATATACGAATGAAAGGGGTTTCACTCAATCTTGCTACTATGTTTTATGGGTTAGGGTTTTGGACTTTTTGGTACACGTGACTCTTGAGGCTGTGCGTTTTGATATTAGGTTTGCCCAAAGATATTTTTCTCTCTCATCTCTCATCTACTTTTTGAAGATTTTTTTCATACACAAATATTGGAAAAATATTTGATTAAACAAAAAATTCTCTACATTTTTTACAACAAAAATCTATTTTTGTAACCAATAAATATTGATAGTATAATACTATCGCAAACCTTTGAAATTTTATCTTTCAGATTTTACTTTTAGAAGTGGAATCCCTTTAAACATGATTGATTAATAAGTAATATAGTAAACTAAATAATATATTAGATCGTTAATTTTTTTTCATATATAATTGATCTTCTTCTTTCCAAACGTTGATCTTTTTCTCGAACGAATCAGACAATGAATTTTTGAAACCATGGTGATTTCGAAGATTATTAAACTTTTTCGATGAACATCATGTCATTACTCTAACAACTGATGTTAATGAACCTTGCCCTCCTATTCTAGTAGATAATTATCCAGACTTCCTGACCTGTGTGCAAGAAGATCTCGTTCCTCTAATAATTGAATGAGGAATGTTCCAAGCTTGTCATATGCAAACCAAGGTCAACTTTCGCAATAACTCTCGTTAGAACGTTTTATATTAGGGTAAGAGATGATCATATATATTCAAAATTTACAAGTTAACCCATACATGCAATGAACTATTAACATATTGAATAATGTTTATAACTTAGTACATCGGAAAAACTCCCAAGCCCTAATTGATAAGATATTTTGAATTGAAGAGAACTTACAATGTGTTCCTCTAAAAGCCAAAGCTACATGAGCGACTGTAACACCCTCTAAAAAACCCCGAATAAATTTTCACAAATAATTAAAATCATATTTTCAGAGTACATGTATAATCGAGGATGCTACAATTCTCTTTTAACAAAACAAATTCCTGTCATGCATAATCTTAGTAGTAACTCATACATGTTTACACAGCGGAATAATTCATTTAATAAAACCAAAGTTATAATATTTTCAATCATCAGGGATTAACACCTGGAATATATCAACATCATATTATAACCAAATACTAAGGAAATAAACGAGTCTGACTAAAGCAGCCCGACAAACAAACGTTCCCGGAGTTACAACTATCAGAGCATGACCCGGACGATACTAAAACGAAAATAAACTAGAATGACAAGCCTTCGCCAAGCACCTGAACGAAGCTCCTCAATCTGAAATATTCAACAGTAAGGGTGAGCATCTCAATTATACATTTGATTATACGTTCATAACAATCAATTCAGGAAATCATAAGCATCACCCAATAATTAGCATATTTCATAGTTTACAAAAATCTTTACAATTCATATACCCATAATATATTACTTTTCATATTTGCAATTAACATCAAATATCGTCAACAATTTAGCAACCATACGTGCATACAAACAATCAAATACAACATTGGAAAAATCATCCATTTATGTTATATTCAAGGTAATGCAACACACCCATGCATGTGGTACCACTTCACCGCCCCATTAAATCTCGGGTCACGGATAACTCATCGTTCCATTATATCGCGGACACGGCTACCACCTCAACGTTCCATTAAATCGCGGACACGTATATTGGCCACCATGTTAATTCCACACAATGGGAATTAACAAATGCAACATGATATGTAAGTATGTAACACTCAACATACTATGAACATCAATCAACATATCATGCACATCAACAACATCAATCATAACAGTATATGGATAGCATGTAATCACTCAGCATACTATTTAAACATCAATCATATCAAGTCATATCATAATTCATGCTCGATAACATTATCCAAAAGCACGACAATAAAATCCACAATAACGCACAAAAAAACAAAATTTAGAAAAATCAACACAGTAGAGCAACACGGGTGCCCGTGTTGTGCAACACGGCCCGTGTTGCTGAACGCGTCCAGAAAATACACATTTTTTTTCTCATTACAGGGGTCCTAACATGGGTACCCGTGTTGTGCAACACGGCCCGTGTTGTGCAAACCAGAAGAGCAACACGGGTGCCCGTGTCGTGCAACACGGCCCGTGTTGCTGAGCGCGTACAGGATTTTCCTGAACCTGCAGCAGCTCAGAACAGCAGCCAAACGCGGGAAAATGCCGGCTAAACGCGCGTTTCGGTACCTAATGACATCGATATTTCACAACTCAAAACAACACATCCATTTCATAATTACCAACAATTATTATAGTAACCTTAACAGTGATTACTCGTCCTTTTTTAGGGAATTTCTAACAACATTAAGGTTATCCCTAAACCTCTAAGGTAAATTCACGATCATGCAGTTATACTCCCAATCCACCATTTGGAACCTAAAATTCCTAATCGATTCGTAACAATTGGGAACCTAACCCTTTTCTAACAAGGTTCAATCCTAAGGGTATCGATTCCTTGTAACATCTAACAATTGGGGTTCTCCCTACGATTACCTAAATTAACTATACATAAACCCATAAACAAAGGTAAATCGAGTAATAGCCCCCCTTACCTTATCAATTAGCAGCTTTAAATTCTTGAGCGATGTTCTTCGTTCTTCGTTCTTCGTACCTTCAGAGCTCTATTTCCCCAAATTCCCAACTTCTGTTTATCGTGAAAAATGAGAAAAGTAACTTGAGTTCCAAAACATAACTTTACTTCTTTTTCACCCCCACTCTTTACTAACAACATCCAAGCCCAATAACTTAAAACTCAGCATTTTCTTATTTCTTTTATTTTCCTCCATATTTCAAAATAAATAATTCCTTTTTATTTTATTAATCCTAATAAAATAATTTCCCGAATTTAAATAAATCAAAAATTGAAACTGGGGTGTTACAACTCTCCCCCACTAAAATAGTTTTCGTCCTCGAAAACATACCTTAGACGAACAGCTCCGGATAAGCCTCTTTCATCTGGCTCTCCAGCTCCCAAGTGATATTTCCATCTGCTGGACCTCCCCAAGCAATCTTCACTAATGCTATCTCTTTACCTCTTAACTGTTTCACTTCCCGATCTTCTATCCTCATATGCAATGTTTCTACTGTCAGGTTATCTCTCACCTGTACATCATCTATTTGGATTACATGAGATAGGTCTGGAATGTATCTCCTCAGCTGAGAAACATGAAAAACATCGTGCAAATTCGCAAGTCTCGGAGGTAAAGCAATACGATAAGCAACTTCCCCAACTCTTTCCGTAATCTGAAACGGACCAATAAAACGCGGAGTCAACTTCTTAGATTTCAACGCTCGACCAATACCCGTCATCGGAGTAACTCTCATAAACACATGATCTCCAGCACTGAATTCTAAATTCTTCCTCCTCTTATCATGATAACTTTTCTGACGACTCTGAGAAGCTCTCATCTTCTCTTGAATCAATTTGATCTTTTCAGTAGTCTGCTGAACAATCTCTGGCTCAATTACCGAACTCTCTCCAGATTCATACCAACACAAAGGTGTTCTACACCGTCTACCATACAATGCCTCGAACGGAGCCATGCCAATACTTGAATGGTAACTATTGTTATAAGTAAATTCAATCAATGGCAAATAGCTATCCCAAGCTCCACCCTTCTCTAAAACACAAGCACGCAATAAATCTTCTAACGATTGAATCGTCCTCTCCGTCTGTCCATCAGTCTGAGGATGGTAAGCTGAACTCAACCTCAATTTAGTACCCAAAGCCTTCTGCAATCCTTCCCAAAATTTCGAAGTGAATCTCGGATCTCTATCTGACACAATACTAGAAGGAACTCCATGTAAACTCACTATTTTCTCAATATATAACTGTGCCAATCTCTCCATTGAGTAATCTATTCGCACCGGTATAAAATGAGCAGACTTAGTCAACCTATCCACAACGACCCATATCGCTTCACAATTCATAGGAGTCCTCGGCAACCCAGATACAAAATCCATCGAAATGCTATCCCACTTCCATTATGGAATAAACATTGGTTGCATAAATCCAGACGGCTTCTGATGCTCAATCTTCGATTTCTGACAGATTAAACATGCATACACAAATTCAGCTATTTCCTTTTTCATTCCCGGCCACCAAAACAATTTCTTCAAATCATGATACATTTTCGTGGCACCCGGATGAATACTCATCCCACTGCGATGTCCTTCCTCTAATATACTCTTCTTGATTTCTGCGACATTAGGAACACAAACTCTATCGCCAAATCTCATAACATCATTTTCATCAATTCTAAACTCACCACCTTGACCTTGGTTGATCAATGTCAATTTATCAATCAAATTAACATCAGATTTCTGCCCGATCCTGATCTCTTCTAGAATACCACTAGTAAGTTTCAACATACCCAAACGAACACACTTCAGAGTACTTTCACAAACTAAACTCAAATCTCGGAATTGTTCAATTAAATCCAATTCACGAACCATCATCATAGACATATGCAAGGATTTCCTGCTCAAAGCATCCGCAACCACATTTGCCTTACCAGGATGGTAATTCAAACCAAAATCATAATCTTTGAGAAATTCCAACCACCTTCTTTGCCTCATATTGAGCTCTTTCTGATCGAAAAGATACTTCAAACTCTTATGATCACTATACACTTCAAATCTCGAACCATACAGATAATGTCTCCACAATTTCAAGACAAACACAACTGCTGCCAACTCTAAATCATGAGTAGGATAGTTCCTTTCATGAACCTTCAACTGTCTCGAAGCATACGCAACTACCTGTTGATTCTGCATTAAAACACCACCTAATCCCATCAGAG